GTATTGAGGGGAAGGGTTGGGCCTGGGGGGCACTGGGGGCGGGGATTGGGGTAGAGGGGTATTACGCATTGGGGACAGGGATCAGGTTCTGCTTTGGGGCCAGGGGTAGGATCTGGGGTGGGTTTGCATTGGGGGCCAGGAATAGGCATGGGCAGGTAAAGGCAGTTAATGCCCTGGGTGGAGTTCCCAAGGTCATGGCCAAATTGAGGGGAAGGGTTGGGCCTGGGGGGCACTGGGGGCGGGGATTGGGGTAGAGGGGTATTACGCATTGGGGACAGGGATCAGGTTCTGCTTTGGGGCCAGGGGTAGGATCTGGGGTGGGTTTGCATTGGGGGCCAGGAATAGGCATGGGCAGGTAAAGGCAGTTAATGCCCTGGGTGGAGTTCCCAAGGTCATGGCCAAAGCAGAAGTAGCCGCTTGATCCTGTTCTCTGGGATATTTAAGATCTTGAACCATTGAAGCAAATAGGTTATGATTTATTGATAATAATGATTAAAGTTGGACTAGTTCCTTTTCCCAATTTGAATTCTGTGTCTACTCTCCTAATAAGAGAGAGATAATTTTTAAGTGGATTTTTTTCAAAGGATCTGATCTTGAAGAGCAAATATTTCCTCTGTAGACATTTGCTTCTGGTATGTTTTGGGACAGCAAAGTGGTGGTTGTATAAGGCATTACATACCCCAGGGGTCTTTGCTAAAGCTCTTAGTGGTGTATGTAATAGTTCTGAGGGGAGGAAGACATGAAAGAAAATGACTTGACCTTTGGATGCTAATTGAAGCCAAAAGCACTTACTCGCTTCATGGATATCCTGGGTATGGTTTCTGGTATGGGATATCATTCTCTGATTAAAAACTGAAGCCAAGTAAGCAGTGTGGCTTGGAGGCTTTTACTGCATCTGGAAGGATTATTGCACATGATCATTAACTCATAATTCTGTAGCTGGACATTAAGTTATCTATCCTTGCCAGTCCCTATTATCAAAGTAGATGGTATTGTTGCACATATGCATTTACGAGAGAACATTTAAACATTGCTCGCAAGATTTTCTAGTTAACTGCCAACTGTAGAGGTAAGAGCTACACTGCAAATATATCTGAGTAGGGGCCCAGTTACGAGTTTGCAGTTTTGAGTGTAGACTGAAGTTTAACAAGTCTGGAGTAAGGATGTTAAAATGCGGTTAATTGACTAGTTGACAGGCACTTCCGCATTCCTCCTTTGAAATGTACAAGAGCCCCAGCAGTGGCTCTTCTACATTTCAAAGGAGGAATGCGGAACTCCTTGTACAGCCTGGGGCCAGCGGAAATCCCGCTGACTCTGGGGCATGCCTGCTTTGAAATGTGCATTTCAAAGCCATGGAGCCTGTGGTCAGCAGGGGACTCTCTCTCCACAGCAGCTGCCCCTTTGAAATGCACGGAGGCAGTGTTTTAAAGGGGCAGCCGCCACACAGCTGATCCACATATCCGTTGTGCAGCGGCTGCCTTGGGGTTTCATAAAGTCCCCCCTCCTTTGCAGCAGGGGGAGGATGTCGACTAGTTGACTAGTCTTTAACATCCCTAGTCTGGACATGTCCAACGCTTTAGCTTTTTTGTGCAATTGGCTTGAAAACCCATCTACATTAGATTATTTTTTCGATTGTAACCAGATCCCAAAACTTAGGTTGACCTAGCTACGTTGCTCAGAGGTGTAGAAAACTCACAGCTCTGAGAAATGGAGTTAAACTGACCTAAACCCAGGTGTGGACACGTCTGTTTGGGGGCAAATTTACTACTTCACTGGCAAAACTCCTGTCACTACAGTAGCTGTCTGTGCTACAGTGACATAGCAGTTGCTTACTGGAGGATATCCCAAAGTTCTGTACGGTGATGAATGAGACACCAAGAGTGATGTTACTGTGTAAACTTAGTCTGGGACAGTACAGAATGTCTTGATGTTTTATTTTACTCTACAGAATATCGTCAGGGGTCTGCATATATTTCTGCATAGGCAATTGAAAGAAGGTACATTGGTTCAATGTTGGGATCATCCCATAGAGCTAGGAAACTAATTGGCTGTAGGTGTGTACCAAAGGCACAGCATGTCACTTGAAAACAAACATCAATGTAATTGAATTAACAACCGTGCAATTTGCTTTTCACGTTGGTGACAGTGAAACCATTTAAACAAAAGCGCCTCACCGCCAGCGACTGTGAAGCCTTCAGGCAGAGCAGAGAAGGCTCCTGTTCCCTGACACAGCCTTTCAGTCAAAGACGAGTGAGCAGAGATCTAAACAGAGGCCTCTACCCAACATACAGGACCAAGAGATCACAAGAAGGTAGAGTGTTTCTAAACAGGTTTAAGAGCTGAGAGAGAGAGAAAATGTTAATATCAACTCTGTGCAACAAGTAGAATTTAACCCCAATTTCTATGAGCGGGTACAGAGGGAAGAGCAGCGGGAAAGGGCTAATTGTCCACAAGGAAAGAAGTTGATTGATCCATATTGTAATCACCCATATTGTAGTCTAGTAAAGACCCACTAAATTGAAAGCTGAGGGCCTCCTTCGACCATAGTACTCCTAGTAAGGGAAGTTGCTCCTTTGACCATAGTACTCCTAGTAAGGGAAGTTGATAGAAGCGTTTCTCCCATTGACCTTCTGCTGTGGGGCTGCCCCAGAAAATCAGTGTAAGGTAAGTCGACTCCAGCTATGCTGTTGTCATAGCTGGAACTGCGTATATTACATCAACTTTATCTGCCAGCGTAGGCCTGGCCTCAGCGTCAGGAGTCCTTTCCCCTCCCAAGGAGGGGTGAGTCCTACAACAAGGCTGGGTTAACTCCTGTTTTACCCCAACTTCAAATCCCCCCTGCCTTTCTCTAGCTTTGAAAAGCTGAAGTGCGCACACCAGCCTCGGTAGGCCAGCCTGCTTGCTGCCAATGGGAGCTCTAAGCAATAGATACTGCAGTAGCTGCATTTATGGAATAGTGATAGAAATGTAGCCGTGTTAGTCTGGTGTAGCACTTTAAAGACTAACAAGATGGTTTATTAGGTGATGAGCTTTCGTGGGCCAGACCCACTTCCTCAGATCAAATAGTGGAAGAAAATTGTCACAACCATATATCAAATAGTGGAAGAAAATTGTCACCGCCATATATACCAAAGGATACAAGTAAAAAAAAGTGAACACATATGAAAAGGACAAATCAAATTTCAGAACAGAAGGGGGATGGGGGGGAAGGTAAATGTCTGTGAGCTAATGATATTAGAGGTGATAATTGGGGAAGCTATCTTTGTAATGGGTAAGATAATTACAAAGATAGCTTCCCCAATTATCACCTCTAATATCATTAGCTCACAGACATTTACCTTCCCCCCCATCCCCCTTCTGTTCTGAAATTTGATTTGTCCTTTTCATATGTGTTCACTTTTTTTTACTTGTATCCTTTGGTATATATGGCGGTGACAATTTTCTTCCACTATTTGATCTGAGGAAGTGGGTCTGGCCCACGAAAGCTCATCACCTAATAAACCATCTTGTTAGTCTTTAAAATGCTACATAGTCCTGTATTTTGTTCCCGCATTTATGGAGACACTCCTGCATATTCATTATTTAATACGCCTTCTTATTTAATTAGATCTCTCGGTGTTTGTTGTCTAATACTCTGTACCAGCTTCCATTCAGGGATTTCAGTGCACTTAATGGCATTAACGAATACATGCTCACAGCCTCTCAGTGAAGAAGGGAACTAATTATTATGCCCATCTTCCACACATGAGGTACAATTTTCACAAACACCCACGTTTCCTTTTCCAAAGTGGCTTGGGAGCCTGAAGAGAGGCTAAGTTGCTTTTGAAAGCGAGACTGAGGTTCCTAAGTCACTTTAGCACTTTTAGAAATTTTCCTCGGGAGCTGAGGGGAAGTGAGTGCCTTAGTGTCGGAGAGTCTGTGACTGAGTCAGGACTGGAACTCACGGCTCCCGATTCTCTGTCCCACGCCTTAACCGCTGAAGCACGCTTCGGTTCCATCGTTGGCTATGAAGGCACATCTTCGGCTGAGTTGGTTTTGAAAATTAGTCACTTTTGGGTGCTTCGCTCAGGCCCTTTAAGGCGTGCCAATGTAGGCTGTCAGCATCACTCACTGCTTTTTAAAAATTTGGCCCTGGGTTTTCCAGCGTTGCCGCTTGGTTAAACATTTAGGAAGCACAAAATGCATGGCTGTGTGAGTTGCAGACTTGAGTATGGTGAGTAGGGTTGCCAGGTGTCCAGTTTTCTACCGGACAGTCCGGTATTTGCATCGTCTGTTCAGTAGAAAAATTCAGAAAATACCGGACATGTGCAATGTCCGGTATTTTATGAATTCCCGTCTGGGTGCTGGACGGAAGCCTGGCAGGGGCCAGGGATTGACTGGGAGGCAGGGCTACAATTGGTTGAGAGCCTCTGGTTGTGTGCAGAAGCTGGGCAGGGGGAGTGGCTCCCAGCCTC